CTAAACCAGTTGGGGGAGGGGCCACTTGAATTTGCTTTCTAGAGGAACCCCTTTTGAGGTTTTCTCCTAAATTTGCCCTAAATCAGGACACCTGGGCAGCCTTTCCTGTATAACATGGAAACTCAAAAGACAGCAAAGCTCCTCTTCAGTTCATCATGCTGACTGACATTAGGAACTCTTTCTGAGCTGTTTCACAGTCCTCCTCCCTGCTCCTGTCTAAAGGCAACTGTGCCTTGCTGGACTACAGTGTATGCTTCTGCTCACAACCATCCTGGATGTGGAAGATGCACTAGTTTCTCCTGCAAGAGACAGGGCTCCTAGGCAAAACCAGATTCAGTTGATATCACTGAGGTGCTCTACACTGGGGGTGGGGCAGGGAACACCTCCAACTGCCTAAGCAAAAATGTTTTCAAACAGTTATTTAAAAAGCAATTAAAGTGAAAGAGGCAGGAAGGTCAGAAAGTACCTGTACAATTTTCTGTACAAATTTCTGTACAATATCTTCCCTGGAATGAGTAATTTCCTCCAGTTATCTAGCTATGTTTTTAAATATGGTGCCAAAATATGTGTATGCCAGTATGTGTCTAAGTCATTGAAATAAAGAGACTACACGCAGGATGACTAACACAAAGGGCTAAAATGAATCTTGCTGTGAGTGCAAAATGTTCCTGTACAATCTTTCTGTCAAATGTCAATTAATTTTACTTTTTTCTTTCAACATTCACAGGAAGAGATCAATCAACTTAAAAGGCAACCTGTAAAAGGAATTATCTTCAATTCTTCCATTAATTCATTCAGTTTTTCTTTACTTTTTAAAAATCTTACTGATATCCAGCTATCACAGAGGCACAATCCAGATCTCACCTGTGTAGAAAAAAGAGAAGTGTGAAGTGCATATGCCAAACATAATAGGACAACTGGAGGACTTCTCTTTGTCCTTGCAAGAGAAGGACTTTTTATTTTGCTCCCTAAACAAGAAGTGATGGGAAGGGTTGGACCAGGAAATAGTGGCCTGGACTAACTGGCCGATTTAAGGTTGATTGGTTGAAAGGTTGTCCATTTAAGAGGTTAGGAGTCACAAGGCTGAAGTTCAACCCATTTTTCACTCTCTGTAAATAATTCTCAAGATCTAAGTTTAGAAGCCTAGGGAAATTCAGGGAAACTAGATGGTTTCTGAATTATCAGTGAGACTGGCAAGTGATTCTTCAAAGCTGCTTCTGTGCTTCTCCATTAATTGTAAGAGTAAGAGAACATAGTAATTTGAATATATTCTATTAATAGCAATTACCAAAACAGTAATTACTAGACTCAGACATCAAGAGATACATGCAAGAAGGGAGCTTGTCAAAAAACTGAGAACAGTATTTCTTCCCCTCTTCCTTCCAAATTCCCTTTTATATCATTGCCTAGATTGAAAACTCTTTCAGAAGATATTGTCTTGCAACATATGCATCTTACTTTCCAACAAGATTCTTATCTTAGTGATGGTGATAATACGTTTTTTTATATTCTTGGTATTGATTCACCAAACAGGCTCTGCTTGGTCCCTCCAGAGGAGGGAAGAGGATCATCCAGGTCAAATAGACAAATTCGGTTTCCAACTGTTAATTCCTCATAATTGTATTTACCTTCAATGAAAAGAAAATAAACCAGAAGGCAACAATCTAATCCAGTTCCATATAGCCAGCACAAGAATAATCCTGGACACATCATTAAGTTATGAACAGCTTCAGGAAATACCGTGGTTAATTAGTAGGAGCTCCCATTGTGAAAATCTTGACGATCCTAGAAAGCAGGTCCTTGGCTGCCAGCCAAGGTCTGGTAGTGTCTTCCCTTGCCCTTGTGTATCCCTAGCTGGATACACAAAAGAAATTATGGATCTTTCAGTTCAAAACCAAAAACATACACAAATATAATGAGCACTGTTTTTCTTCCTGGAAGAATAGATAACAAATGGCTTGAAGAGTGGAGAATATACCTTTATGGTAGGACTACCTTTTCTTCTTGTGTGAAGCTCTTCTATGTCATCATCTATACTATTCTATCACAACACTTCTACTAACAAGCTGAGGTATTTAATTCATTATATTTTTAATCTGGCTGGTTTTTAACCTTTGCAAGAAAGCAAATACAAAAATACATAAAAACAAACAAGTACTAATTTAAGGGTTTCCAAAATATCATTTACCACTGCAGAATGTGAATATTTACTGTGTAAAACCAATGTCAGAGGTGAAATTTCCTAGCTAAAATTATTTGAAAATTTCTAGTATCTTCTATTCATTAAAATTAATAGGGAGGAAGTTAAATTGCTTTGGGTTTTTTTCCCTAGTTTTCTTACAATTATCCATTTTTTTGTTTACTTCTGGCTTTTACTGTTGATTCATTCCCTTTAGGTATTGGGGGCTTTGTTGGGGGAAGTGCTGCAGAAACTGCAGTGCTGCTCTCAATAGCCCTTGAATTGCATCTGAACATCTCTAAGACAGATTTACAAATGTCAAAACATCTCCATGATCTGAATTTGTCTTGAACAAAATGTTAAAACAGTTTCTGGAATAAAACCAAAAGCTCAGAATGGCAGGAACAGAGGAAGCATGAGGGCTGTCATTTCCTCTAAGTCCAGCAGAAAATACTTCCTATTAACACCTCCCAGAGATACAGACTGTTCCAGTGAGCCATATGTGACTGTCTTCCTGCTATTAATTTTTGTGCCTGAAAGACTACCTCAATCAACACAATATGAGAGTTTGCTCCTGATACTTTTATGTTTATGTGTATGTGAGACAAACTCTAGTGCTTTAACTATACATTTTGACTCAAAAATTTCACTGCCTTACTGTGTATCAGAGAATGGAGATAGAATTACTAGCTTTAAGATAAAAACCATTATGTAATCAAATCCCAAGTTCTGTATCAACAGTATATTTTACAGATAAAGGACAATTCCTAATTCTCTGCATTAATGGCAGCTATTCTCGAAGTTTTTTTCAACACTGACAGCTAGAATGGCTAGATTATAGGCATAGAGAAAATAATGACAGAAACACCTGCACTGTCTGAAAGGATTCTATTACCTTACTATCTTTATTGAAGTCTAAATTCTCAGAAGAAGCAAAATAAGCAAAACCTTGAAATATTTAATGACTATGCTTACAAAAATTGTCTTGGAGAAACAGCTGTTGTAGACCATTTTCTAAAGTACATCTCCTTTTAGGTTTTCTTGTTTAATTAGATCTATTCCATGAAAAGTTGAAAAACTCCATGATGTTAGTTTCCTTTTCAATCAATAAAAACTCACTGGGACAGAGCAGTAGGAAAGAGAGTGGGATGCCTTCTCTGTTACAATAATAAGACTTGGGATACATTGGTTCTACTAAGATTTGGGATACATTGGTTCAGTGCCTGGGTCCCACACAAATTTCCTGTGTGAAGTCAAGCAAACCTTTTGGTGTTTCAATTATGTATCTGTAAAGCAAGGATAACCACTATCCCAGACAGGATTTTTTTGGCTCACATCTATTAACATGCTAGAGGTATTTAGAAAGTCATGTAGGAGAATTCCACTGACCATATACCCAAAATCAGTAGTCAAAATTACTGGACTACTAACGTGTCAGGCAGACATCTCTCATAAAAACATACTTGCCTACTACCTGCAAAGAGGTCTCACAACAGCAGTTTAACATTTCTACAAAAACAAATTTCAAAATACAATTCAGTAAAATAATGTGCAGAGCAATGCAACCTGTTGTTGGGGAAAAGCAATACAAACCCTGCTAGCATTTATTACCACAGTGCTCAAGACCACATCACTCAGCTGGGACCTCCTTTATAGAGTGACTGACTTTAGAGGAGATACTGACATTTGGGGAGATAAAATCCACTAAGAAGACTCCCACCTCTCTGCGTCTGCTGTGAACACACCTTCTCTGATAGCACGCAAAGACCAGGGAACAAACAAGGAAATGGGTCATGATACTTTGGCAGGCAATGTGTCAAAGGAAAGGTGATCTTCTGTATATAAAGCTGGACTAAATAAACATTAAAAAACAATGCCACAGAAAATGATACATATGCTAGAGAACTAATTAAGTCTGGTTGGAGAATTGACTACATCTATACACTACTATTGCTTGATACAATATTCCCATGTTTCTCAGTCATTCTGTCTTTACTGCCCATCTGTAAGCCATATCTATATTTATCTCATATCTTCCAACAGCAAAAATCTTGGAAACCTGCTTAGAAAGATCTTTCAGATCTATAGTTACACATGTTCAGTGACACTGTTACCTACACAATAGGTAATACTTTTCAGCTAAAAGGCTAGAAAAGTAACTAACAGCATGAAAGTATAACACTTCCTTTCAATTATCCCAAAAAGCTGGTTTCATTTCACAAAGGTAGATTACTCTGAATTTCAGCAATAAATTTCTTTGAAATTGACACAAAATCATCTTTTGAAAAGCATTGTGTTGAAAGAAAAACTTTCTCTATTATTTACATTTGTTAAAAGAACACTCAAAAGGAGCAAATTATAATAAGGACTATGGCAAAATAGATATAGATAATGTATTCAGACCTAGCTGATAACCACAGGGAAAAAAAACCAGGGAATCTGAGTCAGCTTAATAAAGCATCCTACTGATATTACATACACCATTTAATCCTCCCTAAGTCAGGGAGAACTGATTGAGAGAATCCTCTTTGCAGGTGTGACTTGTGGTGTTCTCTATGTTTCCTTCAGCACCAGCCTGACCTAGTTTTACATGGCATTGTAGGAAACCAGGTACATACAACTAGTTGTCTTTGCCCTAGGTAAGGGAGAACAGCCAATAGCTGGAGGGGTTTGGCTACTTACAATCTGGCCACAGTTGCAAAGAACCTTTGATTGTCTTAAAAAGCAGCTGATTCACTGAGTTCTGGTGGGCTTCTTTTGCTTTAGTTATCAGTAGCTCTCAGTGCCTCTGTGAGCTCTGAGTACATTGTAACATACTCACCATCATCTGCTGAATATGAAATATTTCAGCTCCAGTGGCAGAGAGGCGGTTTGGAATTGAAATATCAATAAAAGCTCCAGGAAGAGTGCTTGGTCCAGCATTGTAAACCTGTAGCAGAAAAAATTAATACAAATAAAATTCCATACTTGACTTCTTATAAATGGGAAACTACTGTAGATTCAGAGCTGGAAGTACAGGTAAGTTTGAAGAAATACAAGTATACTTAGTAGGTTTTTCAATGTCTTCAAACTAAGACTTCTTTTTTAAGTGTCAGAATGAAGTCAAAGGATTAGCTTACCTAACAGTCTTCAGTCACAGCTCACATATCAAATGAGAAGCAGTTTTGCAGGATATTTTATATACAGAGACACTGCTAGTACACTGAATGTTTGGTAATAAAATCTTGAAGGCTATAAGAAATATTACTGTCTCAGTTAACATTCTCATTTCCATCTGTTAACCACTGCATGATACTCTGCATATGTTTTCCTTACAGAGCAGAAGCCAAACAATTACTGTGACTACTGGACTGTGGGTTTTCTGAGTGAGTTGCCAGGAAATGCATGTGAACAACTTCCATTCAAGTACCAGCATTTTCAATTAAATTACACTTTTAGTGGAAAATATTAGCTTTCTATCGCTCTGTGGGCCCCAAAATTTCAACAAAAGCTCAAAGAATTTCCCATCCACCATTGAAATGTATCCAGTTAAAATTCCAAAATTTATGGAGTTTTGCTGAAGTGAAATAATCCATGGAAAAAAAATCAATTAAAGTAAGTTTTCATTTGTATCTACATTTTTTTATTAGGAAAAATATTTTCTGGTTCTTTCTAACAACACAAATATAAATGCATTAAAAAACATTAAAGTAAAACCATGAAGCCCATTACAATATTTATCAACACTGAGATACTACTGTGAAAAGGCGTAACATTCAGTTGTTAATTGTGCAAAGTACAAATATTAAAACCAATAGGTTTTCATTTTTCAAACACTGTTTATATTTGAAGAAATGCCTGACTAATAAACAGAACTGGCCAAATCCTCTTCACAAAAGCCCTGAGGCTCCAGGCAGGGGGAGAAATCCCATTAGAATGCAGTTTGATAAATGCTGCATGAAATACAAACATAATGTTTCATGTTAGACATTTTAAAAACTTTATCTCAGTAAGATCAGATATGAATTATTGCAGAAAAGGCCTTTTCTGTTAATATTTGATCTAGTAGAGATTTTCATATATAAAAACTGCTATAAAGGCCTATATTTTTGTAACTCATTTCTTCCTTTTTGTTAAAGACCTATTATTTTTCTCCATCTGGAGAAGTTAAATATTTGGCAGGAAATAATTAAGAAAGGAGTGATGCAAACAATGCTTTGCCTATTGTGAAACTACCTTTTCTCTCTGATACACACAATTAGAAGGTTTACACCATTATTGGAGAGCAGATGTATGACTTGTTATGGTATAATTTTCTACTTCCGTATGGAAAAAAATATTACTATTGCAACTGCTAAGTGTGTGCATGAGAGACAAGAGCATTTGGTAGCACAAATGGTGGCACTGCCAATACATAGATTCTCTCTCCCGTCCCTGTTATCACTTTGCTTTACTGAAAATATTTATCGAGTTAAAGCGTCAGTGCATCCGTTCTTCATCTGGATTAACCAATCACCAGGTATGAGGAGGAGGAAGGGAAGACCTACAAACCCCCAAGAAGGAAACCAGAATCACAAGAATTAATAGCTGGATCACAAAAGCTTTTATCTTGAAATCCTGCTTTCAGTCCTTCAGTAAATAGCTAAGGGCATTGTGTAACAGTGGAGGCTTAATTGCTGTGGGTTCCAATCTGTCCATGGAGACAGATATGTTATTTGTTATAAGCTGAGTTTTCAGCCTAGGAAAACAGAAAGAAAAAAGACAAAACACTTACTTTTCACAATAAATGAACCTACCTCTACATGATTTATCATTCCCTAGTCCCATCTTGCAGTCAAAAAACATTTGTAGGGCTTGTAATAGATGCAGTTACAGCAGTGAAACAGTGCCACTTAATGTTGGCCAAATCACAAGAGTTCCTTATAATAATCCATCCACATATTTTGCCACATCAGGAACTCATCTAATTGCCTTGTGAAGTGTAATATATAAGTAACACTTGAATAATGCTGAGGTGCTATGAGGTATTTATTGAAAGCTTCTCACACCTGTCTTTTTGATGATGCTGTTGAGTCAGGGACAGAAAGAAGACTCCAGTCTTCAGGTGGATCAGAATGAAAGTAGCGGGTCTTTTTAGAATGTTACTCGGTAATTTGATATTTGATTGTTCTCAAAGGAGAAACATCTCACACCATTGGTGAACTATGAATAGGACACTTTGGAGAACCATATCTATAAAAAATGGTTACAGAAAGAGAGATAACAATTGTTTGAATTCTTTCATCTAAGTTTCCCACAGCTTCTACACAGCTTCCCAGGATTTTCCTGGGAGAACCATGTCTCTCTGTGTTCAAAGGATATGTAATTATTACATTTAGTGTCCTTATCTCTTCCCTATACTGTACTGCTATCAGTAGTGCTATAAATATTTTCATGCTGGGGCATTTAGCAAGCCTGAATCCATAGCACAGATATGTTTGTGCTCACTCCTTTGCTCAATGACCATGCCACTAAAAAGAATTACTCCTCCACTCTTAAACTGTGGCTTCATCCAAGATGTGGCACTTGAGTAACTAGGGCTCTTTACTCAGCATGTGTAAAAAGGTGAAAGAGAAACAAATGGTAGGAGCTTTTTTCCCTATGGAAGTGAGATGCCATGTTTGTAATTCCTGTCATAATATATTCAGATAAAGGACATATGCCATCCCTGCACGCTGTAAATATGATATCCAGTCAAGAACGCATTGTACAGGGATGTTCTGCCTGAGTGGGTGTAAAACAGCTCAAACTAAACCCTATTTGTGAAAGTTACCCATGATGGATGGAGAAGGGTAGTCATGCTGACTTTGGTGTTAGAGTGCTGAGGCTTGTGAGAAATGGATTTGTAAGGGATTCTCAAAACCTGACAGAGAGCTCACACAGTCTTGTACATCTGCATGCAAACATTGAGATAAGGTGTGCTGACTTTAGGGAGGCTATGGAATAGAGATAACATTGTTGAGAGATTGAACTAGAAACGAGTTTCAAAAAGTTTCAAAATATGGCCCTGCAAAAAGACCAGATATTTTAGAGAACTGGAACTATGAAAGATGCATTGTAGCAGGACCACATGGGATAAAAATGTAGATGTAGAAGTATTTGCAACATTGTGTGGCAAAAGCTAATAGGCTGAAGAACATTTATAAGGTATTCTAACCAGGAAATAAGTTGGCTTTGATATAATGGCATTGAGTTTTACATCTCTTATGTCTCACCCTTCAACAAGACTGATAAGGGAATAAAATCTTTTAAAATTCCTCTCAGTTGCCCTGTCTCTGAAAAGCACGGACTACCAACAGAGACTGACTCATCAATCCCAAAGTTAAACATTCAGACAGCATTTCCTGACAAAAACTGGTAGCAGTGAGGATGTGACAGGCAATGTTCCCAATAAAGGAATCAACAAGTGGTAGTACAGATAACTTGTCTAAAGCTGCTGAGCTGGCACAGCTAGCCTAGAAACACATGAGTGACAGTTGATTACTTTATACTATAAAAGCTGAGTCCCACATTTTATCAGCATGGACTTCTAAAACACCACTTCCAGGAGTGTCTTTAGATTCTTCCCTTGAGTGGAGATGTCTCTCAAGGTTTCTCCTTGAGGGTGAGCAAAAGAGATTTGCCCACAGTTGTTGGTATGAGCGAGTACACCTATATAACCTTCAGACAAAAACTGTTGACCCAGTTGAGGCTAGGACTGGATCCAGTTGCACCTAGATTCCTCCCTGAGAAGAAGTTTAGAAAGCAAGGGAGTCCTTTCTGAACCTCAAAACTTAACAAGAGGGTCTTCTTTATAAACCTTGTCCAAAGCTTCCATTCTGCCCATGACTGTGATGCAAAATCACGCACAAAAGCCCTTACAACACTCAGAATAAAATACAGACAAAACAAGAATGTGCTGTCAATCAGGAAACCAGTCAAAATAAGGATGAGTTTTACCTGCAGTGTGAAGTTGAGAGACTGGAAAAGGCATTCATGGTTTTCCAGCTGAACAAAGTTGGAAGCTGCCACAGAATCACCGTAGAAAAATGAAGTAGGGAAGACTTCTCTGTAAGACCGAGATACAAATTTAGTAAGCTGAATTTGTGACCAAAATTAAATATATTTGTGTCTAGCTGAATTGCACCCCTTGCTTTCTAGTCATGTGAAATTCTATGGGACCGTTTTACATTAATCTATTTTTTGTGATTTGATTTCCTCTTGGCAACCCTAGACTACACAAGCAGCATCTCAACTGACATGGGTTAACATCCCACAATGAAGCAGACTTCTTTTGACTACTTATCCTTTTTTCTCCTTTCCTATCACAAATCCTCCTCTCTGGAGTCCCTTGGCATGGGTGATTTGTTCAAGTCCCATAGCTTGGATTAACACAGGAAATCATTGCACTACCAAGTTAATCTGAAGAAACAGTATCTAAGAGGAATATTTCAGTTGCATATTCACTAAACTAACATTTCAATTTTATTTAACATTTACATAGCATTTCAGGAATAAACAGTTAATTACCTAAGTTTTACTACCTTTATTATTAAGTACATGATTAAAGAAAAGATTAGAAGTGTTTTCAACTAGAGTAGAGCAGTTCAAGTTTCCTTAACCACTCTTAAAATGTAATCACACAATAAAATTAAGTAGGGTTTTATCAGAAATTACTTGGAAGCACAACACAGTACCTAAAAATCCTACAGAAGAGGACTAGGAGTGCTTTAAGCATCCTTTATGTCCTCTTTGAATTTCAGGCTTCTCCACTATTTGGAAAGGGTCCTGGTGTGATTTCAGACAAACCTTAGTCCTCCCTACTGCCTAAAACTCTGCTCCCTTCCCAGGTTTTCCTTTTGAATCACAGCACTTTGAGACAGAATTTTAAGCCTGTTTAGGTACATTTCCTTTTTTCCTGCCTGCATCCTGTGCCATCGATTGCTAGGGGAAACAGTGAAAGACAGATTTTCTCCTCCCATTTACAGTGTCATGCCAGAAAGCTTCTACCAAATATGGTACAAGCCATTCTGGACTGTTTATATAACCAGGAGTGAAGTTTGCTCCTCTAGATTCAAATGTAGGACAATTACACTAATAAAACAAGCTTCAAAAATATACTGTCCAAAAAGAAGAGTATTACTAATACTACTATGCCTAGGAATGTGCCCTCCAATAAACCCAGCTTTTCTCTGGCTGCTAGATTTTTCTGTGGACTTTAATTAACTAAGGCTTGTCTGTGAGAAAGAAAAATATAATCCCCATAGGCACTTGCGTGAGGCTTATAAATTCAGAGACCTTGTGCCTTAAAAAAGTACATTCTGAAGAGAAAGAAGAAAAACCAATTTTTATTATGTTTTGGCATGCAGTATTCTGTAGGTAACAGAGTTCTAAAGACACAGATGAAAGCATTCATATATGTAAAGCTGAGTAAAAATCCATCTGTATCAAAGCATCAAGAAACAAGAGTTCAATTTCTAAAGAATTTGTAACAATGAAAGCATTCAAAACCGCCTGAAGCATGCTGCTGAGACTGTACCTTCAATACAGAGATTTTTGTCCTTGCTAATCATCTTGTGAGGTTTGACAGTGTACTTCCTTTCTCTGAGAAGGCTCAAACAAACCTTTTACCCATTCTGACTGCTGTAGTAATTAACGATTTTATTTCTATCCAACAAGATGAGCTTTATGAGATAAAACCCTGAGTCTAGGCCTTGGATCTGAGTTTATTCAGCTTTTCAATCAAATCACATGTCAGTGCAGCTTCACTTTTTTCTACACATGTAGCATAGTGGTCAAGAGAATATTTGACTTCTACAGATGCCAACCTGCACTGGTTATTTAGACAATACCTGTAGTCTGGAGGTTGCCATAGATGAGACACTGACCATCTGGGGACAGTATTAATGAGTTTTTGCTTCCCCACTTTAGGAATTAATGTCAGCCTTCTCAGTCTACATGAATACTAATTCGTGTTCAGTGAGCAGGTCCTCCAATTTCAACTCAAAGCACTGTTTATGCTAAAGAATGGTCTGACTGTTGAAACTGACCACAAACCTTTCATTCGAGGCTTAAGATTGTGATGCCAAGTGGTAGGGAAGAGCCCCAAGTTCAAAGGCCGGAATTCATACACATGCAGCCTTAGGGATGTCGCCCTGATTTTGTAAGACTTTGTTAAGCCTTCTGATGTTTGCATTCTTTCAACAAACTTTCTCACACACAGTTCTGTAAATAACCTATGTTTTGCATTCTTTCATGGAGGTGGAGAGAATTGATGGACCCTTAGTCTGTCCAGTGGCATTGGAGAGGTAACACTGTCACCCTCCAATCCACTGTCACCTTTGGAAAACTATAAATGTTGGAGTCAGAAAATAAAGTTCTTCTTCTTCTTCCTTTTTGTTCCCCTCGAGAGCAGCAGTGTCTGTGTCATCATTTCGTGCCGTATCACAACAAGGGAGAGGACACAATGGCTATATGTTATACAAGTATTTCAGTCAAAGGGTGAGAGATGCTTTGCAGTTTGTACTCAGATGCCTCACAGACTAGGGAATAGAGGAAATAAGAAAACAAACAGAAGCAGAAGCAAATTCTGTTTGAGAAATTAAACAGTAAGGCAAACAGCTAGACTTCACCAATCTCCTTATAATTCCAGAACATTTGACCCTAACCTTTGGCCTGGTGACTCTCAACCATTTCCTTAAAGACATGCCCTAAGGAACAAAATGTGGTTTACTTGTTCTTTTTATATTTAATTTTCAGGTCCATCATATCTACAGCATCACTTGAATTTAAACACAGTCACTGAAATACCTTCTATAAATGTGATGGTAACTAATTAGCATTAATTAGGAAGTAGTGAAAATTAGGTACAGTCCTGAAATGAACAGAATTTCCAGATACTGAATGAGATTGTCTGAATGACCAGAGTCTGGGAAACAAGGAAAAAGCAACAGTCTGGCTACATGTAAACAAAGAAAATAATTCATTTTTTCACTGGAAAACACTCAGGTGTTATTCTTAGGATGATGATGATGATGATGAGGATTATTAATATTGTTTTTGTTTTCATTTGGTGATTGATACTTACCCATTGATAGATGAGTCCACCTCATGCATCAGGGGCACAGACAGGATTAGAGTATTATCATGCAGACATTCAGTGCATTCTAGGTTTCCACTATGTCAGAAAGGAAAAAAAAAACATACTGCAAATCTACAGCCTTTATAATATATAACAGTTTCACAGTCACCATCTCTCTGCCTTGTACTCTGAGCCTCTCTATGTGAGTCCTTAAGAAAGTTCACCCAAACTTGGAGAGGGCATACACAAAAAGCATGAGTTTTGTGGCTCTGACATGATCAGGCTCGTTAAAAAAAAAAGTATATTGGAACAAGGTGTGAATTCAAATGTCTGTGGGAAACTACAGCAGCCATCATACAAAGTGGAGAGAAACAAGAACATTTCGACTTCCAGGCAAGGACTCATTTTCTCCCAATTTGACCACACATCAGTTTGTGAGGGACATACCTCACAGGGTCTTGACCCACCAAATGAATAAATGTTTTCAGTGTACCTGCACTGTACTATAGACCAATTTGCTGCCACTGCAAGCAGGTTTTCGGGCAAGACTCTTATAGTGAACTGGCCATAACCTCTCAGCAATTCCACCCTCTCTTTCCCCCTCTTCCTGTACTTAGCTGCCAAAATGAAAGCACTTCTACTTTACGTTGTCAAAGGCAGTTGCCTCAGCCAGTCAAAACAAAATAAAGAAAGGAAAAAAGTGAGCAATTAGGTTTCATTTAAGTCAGTTTGTTTCAGTGTAAATACTTTATATATGAAGTCTGGGAAAGGTTCCTGTAATGCATGTCTAGCACAGAAACCTGCAACTATTCTAATTCTGATGATCAGTCTGCTTGTTGAGTGACAGCTCAAAACAACAATCTTGAAAGATATGTTACATGCATTTCCAATTTCTTCAGCAGTACTCTGGAATCAATTTTGCCTTGCAGTTCATTGGATTTACTCACAAATAAAATTGGCAAAACAAAATATATGATTATATGTATTTGAGGACAGTATCACTGAGGAAACAGCAGGCAATAATATCCCAAGTGATTCACGTGCAGATTATGAATTGCTCAGATTACAAAAATAGAGCCTGCTGGCTACATATATGCTTACCTACAGCTCAGCTTTCTGCAACTGACACATTGCCTATGTCTGCTGATAAAATATGGCCCAGATAGAAAACCCCACAAATTTCACCCTGGGAAAGAGCCCCACTTAATAAAAGCTTTTCCTCTGAATAGGCTCACAGAAGAGTCCAAAATCAAAACATTTCTCATCCAACATAAATACCGAGATACCATGGTGGCACACAAAATAAGCAAGTAGAATTCTACACAGGGTCATGGTTCTTATCTGTTTCAAATGGAGTAAAGGTACTGTCAGTAAAGGAGAACACAACTCAGTGAATCTAGCTCTAGAAAAACAGTTCACACCTGGAAGCAAAGAAGAAGGTTTGTTGTTTTTTTTTTTTTTTTAAACAGCCAACTTGTGTAAGAGAAATACAATGTGATGTTTACTTATTTCTCCAATTGTTCCAATACTGAACCAATCTCTTGTCACAGATTCTACTGCCAAATTTGCAGCTACACAGGACAGGCTCAAGTAGACCCTTGAAAGGCAACACTTGCTTTCCCATGACAGCATGAACATAGCTTCCCTGACCAGCTATTTCTGCCAGACTAATTCCAGTTCTGTGTGGAAACAATGCTTTCACCTATGGCAGTCTGACTGCAGCACAGGTACATTTTCTCAACTTCCTTATAATTGACTTTACCTCAGGGCTCCCTGCAACTTTTGTGGTAGAAAGATTTTGTTACACTCATTTGACAGCAAGGGAATTAAGCAATTTGCCTAAAGTCACAGAGGAAATGAGGGTAATCAGCATTGAGACCTGCACTACTCTCTTTGGAGGTTCAGCTAAATCCTTCAAAACATAACTATCCTCTCTTAACCTTCTACAGTGAGGAACTTTCTCATAACATCTCTAAGCATGCACTCAATGTGTAACAATTGCTGTTTATTTCTTTGCTCATCTAAAGGTACAGACTAGTATTTCTCACTGGTAGGGCACAGAAATATAAGTGAGATTACAGAGGGAAGTCCTGTGCTATCCAAAGTTGGAAAACACTGGTTGTGCAAATTTAAAGCACTGCTGACCCATCTTTGCACCAACTGGCATTCACCTAGCAGATACTGATGTCTCTGACTGAGAAGCATCACAGGGTCATCTGCACACATGATGAACATCCGATGGAGAATAAAACTTTGCTAACATGCAAGACAGAGTGATATGTCTCACTTTCATTGTCTCATACCAGCCCTGTGTGCTGCAGGATCTTGTTCCCACCTACAGCTGTTACTGCAGGCGAGGACTATGCCTTGTGAGAGCAGTCACTCAGAAGCTGCTACCTTATCTCTCATCTCTAGCTTTTTGTAGAGATGTCATCTCATTTGGGATCCTGATTTGGACAGATACGGATATGAAGTTGGCTCATTTACATAGTAAATGGGAGAAGGAACTAGTCAAACACCCAACACATCAAAGCAGCAGTTCATGGCCAATATTAACACAGCTGTGCATTGGTTCCCATACAGACATTGAAGTGCTTGAATCACCCATGTGAATCGCCCTTGATTAATGACTGAATCACCCATGCAGTATGCTTCTTCATGGTACATCATCTTAGAAGGCACAGAGCATGCGTCACATCTTTTATCCTGCCGAAGACAAATGCCTATGCATGCATACTTTGCAACACCCTACTTCAATGCCTTCTTGAAGTGCTCTTTGAGAAGTACACTATCTAGATGTTTTCCACAGTCTGTCATGGCTCACTGAAGATGAGAGTGGGGAAAAATAGACATGTTATTTTATAACCTAACACTGGGATTCTTGACCATCTGATTAAAGCATTTATCTTTTTTTGTTTGCATCCCAGCATGTTTATTTCATTCAAATGCTGAAACAAATGGGTTGGGCTATCTTGTGTTGATCGTCAATCACAGCTGAGTTGAGCTTGATATATGGTGAGAATGATCCCTCAGAATGGCAACTGCCTGGCAAAGAAAACCTATGCATGATCCTTCCTCATTTTTCAGGAAGCTTCAATACATAGTTCCTCTGCATCACCAAAATACATGCATTTAGCCCCAGTAATTGAAACTAATTTACTACACATATATATATCTACAGCTAATATAATGTAATTGTCAAGCACATGTAATGCACACTTCATCTAACAAAGAATATCCAAGTCATCTAGACATATAAGGGTCCCCTTACCTTTGGGCAGTGACAAGGAAGGTAAGTGTTTCTTCCTGACCGGTCAAATGGCTTGTATCAAAGATCACAGTGAACTCATACTGCACAAAGAAAAAGCCATATTTAGAGACTCTGCATATTGTTTCAAAATGTATTTATTCTGAAATTTATTCATATTTCATTGGCCTAATTTTAAAAAAGTGGCATATTTTGATATGTATAAGAGCACTTCTACTGCAAATTACCTTGTAAGTCTTAGTAATTGTGTCTCTCTTCAAATACTATAGAGTTTGGGTTTTCCATCATTAAGAGAAGACCTTTACTAGAATTGCTGTTCAAAGAAATTTCTTGATAGATCATCTGCCTGGGAATGAATCTTGAAGAACAGGAAGATCACTACCTGAAACTATGTCAGTGCCACTCTGTATGATATTTGTTGATTAAGAGATCTTTTGGGGCAATAAAGGCCACACCACAGGCCTGCACTTGGAGCAAGTGGCACAAGTTAAAGCAGCATTCAGGACATGCATCATAATGGGTGAAAACAGGTGCTAATTTTGAAATAAGAATTTTACTTTGGTGGATTACTTGTCCATGTAATTTTTCTGCCTAACTCCAAAACAGACTTTGGCCAAGTAAAACAGTGTTCAAATCCATTGTAATTTCAATGGCTTGCATTCTTACATTCTAAGTAATATTTTTGCTACTGCATGTATTTTTTCAATTCCATTTAAAATATTTTTTACTTTTTCAAAGTAGCACAAAAGAGTCAATTATTAAAACAGAAAACAAAAACTTTTATAATGGGTCAAAGGATACATCAATTCAAATGGAAAGGATTTGCTTTTGAAATAGAAACTTTCTGAAAAATTTCAGACTCATTTTTTTCAGGTCATCCTTAAGTTATTCCTCATTTTCTCACCTTTCTGGGTTGGTCATTTTAGTGGCAGAAAGAACACAGCTGGATTTTTTAATGTGAAAGAAGACAAAAAACTCACAGAAGCAACATAAGTAAGACAGAGAGTCCTTTTCTAATTTTTTGCAGAGGAAATACGTACATTTTGCACCATTTTTCACAGCCATTTTATTGCAGTGCCCAGAGCAATGTCATTGGCCCTGTCTCGTGGGAAAAAGGATAGCTAGTCTCTGTAACTGTGAAAGGCTTGGATATCTGGCTTAGCAAGCTAGAGGAAGTATCAATCACAGACATTTAACAGAGCAGTTGGTTTTCCAGACATTCTTTGAGACAGAGGTAAATGGACTAATATTCTGCAAATGCAAATATCACAAAGTTACCCTAGATTTGGATCTCATGAAAGGAAATCCCACACTGCACTTGAGGAAATCTGACTCCAGTAACTCACAAGCAATGCCCAGCTCCTCCTACAAGAAAACAAAAAAGACCATGAGATTACGGATTTGGGGAGAAAAAGAAGATTGCTAAAGAAACACCAACATGATGAAATACAATGGAAAATTAAATATTTCCCATCATAGCACTGTGCTGTACTTCCTTATTTTACATTAGTCAGACCAGCATTGGGAAGAAGACAGCTATAAGAACCTTGCTGTAAGAGATAGATCATGAAGAAATACTGCATGACTAAACCCATTAGAGTCAGGGGGTCAGCCCAAACTCTTGGATAACTCAGTTATTCCCTCTGTTTATTAAAAGAGAGCTTTCAAATGATCAAGAATGTAGGTTTTCTAAGGTAGTTTTTCCAGGTACCTGTACCATGAGGAGAGAACAGTGTTGGGAGACAGTGACCAAACTATGCAATACACAGATGCAGAAGAGAAAGTTCATCTGGTTCTGGTGACATTCAGTGCCCTGATCTCTTGCTCTGGTCCACAAGATGAGTCATGCTGGTATGGATACTAACCTTTAGTTAGATGGTGGCATAGATAAAGTAGAGGAATGAGCATCTCCTCATGCTAAACATTGACTGTGGACAGTCAATAATTCAAATGCAAAAAGTTAGAAGAGCCCTATCCTGCTTGACTGGTGACTCCACTACAAAAGAAATTCTTCTGGTGAATGGAGTGTTTAATTGCTCCATAAAATAAGTGCCTAGCTCCAGATGGGCACATTCAAACAAGATTATCAGGGAACAGTTTAATACTCTGCCACTGTGGGCAAGTTCATCTCACTAAACTTTAGGAGTGTGATTCAGCTCTGGAATCTTGCTTTTAAAAGCCTACATAACAAGTGACTGCTATGTGATTTACATGTCATTGCTTCCATGGTAGTAAAAGGATGTAGAAAACAGTTCAGCAGACCAAATGCAGGTGTTTCATTTAGACTGGGTTGGATACCTCTCTACTGCTGATTACAGAATCACGCAAACTATGGTGCTTATGGTATGCACTATAATACAAATGCCTAAATTTTAGATCTCTCACTCTATAAATTAATTTTATTCCAGACATGCAGATGAGAATCTCTTTGCTACAGAACATATAATTTATTTGCCCTATATTCACTATTTACAGCAGTTTGCAAAGCTCATGCTCATGTACATTTCCTGAGTTACTTCAAAAAAGTAACATTTTCAGCTGGAACAAGTATGAGTGGAAGGAGCTTCCTGAACCACGCATTTGGGTTATAGGCATCTCCAGGAAATGCCTCTCTGCCTTTTTCATTCTGATCTAAGTACAGCATTAGTGCTCTACAGATATTTAGCTTCAAAATCATGGTTGAAATCAGGGCACATATTTCTAGAAAATTATAGATCAAATACTATCTATCTTACCTGACTCAGACAGTATTTCACTGGTTTCATGAGAAGCAAAAATAATGTAAGGAGAAAATCAGTGCATACCTTGAGATACCTAATGGAATGACATTACTGCAATACTACTAAAATGCCAGAGGAGTGGCCTTCCCATTCAGTTTCTCTATGGATTTGCTTCCTTGCAATCTTTAGTAGGCTGCCATTTCTGGAAATATGAAAGACGGCACTACTTAGCAAATCAAATATCTAGCTTCAGTAGTATGGAACTACCATCCACATATATGTTAGATTTTCTGCTCTAAAATGAACACAAAATAGACAAACAAGTGCTTCATTGGCAAAACATCCCTTTCACTAGCCTTTTCCTCTCAGGAATCTGGACGGTTCTCCAGTTTTATGAGAGTGATCGAGAGAACACAAAGTTTGAGCAGCTGCATAACCAAATGAAAAATTTCAGGGGAAACACCTGTTTCCCCTGAAAACATTCTCGGTTCAGGGTCATTCAAATGTCCCTTGCTAACTGAGGCAAACGATGAACTCTCTTCCATCAATGTCTAGCCTGTGCTCTGTCAAGACGGGTTTCTAATTACATAGCTGTCCAGTATGATGATAGTGAACAGACAGACCCAAGAAACTGTCTCCTCCCCTCAAGGCCATATCCCTTCAGAGATGTCAAAGACCCAGATAATTGAGAGAACCCTCATACTGGTAACAGAAGAAGAGCATTTCTTCTTCATTTTGCACATTGATGCCTTTACAGACCAGACAGCTGGCAGGCAAATGTCCATGGTTTTATTTCCTGTAAAAGGAAATTACAAGATAACATTGAATTCACTGTTTTTGCTTATTGTTGCTTGGAAAAGTTTAACAAATGAAGGAAAATTTACTTGAATGGCTTTCTGGTTTCATTAGCATACTATCCAGTTAATGATTAATATTAATACTACATTACTGAAGTTCAGAGTGGAGAGTATGAAAAGGTTATTCCCTGAGAGGGTGATTAATGAGCAACAGGCTCTCCAGAAAAGTGATCAGGGCACCAAACCTGTCCGAGTTCAGAAAGTACCTGGACAATGCTCTAGATTATATGATTTAATTAGGGAGTCCCATGAGAAGCAGGGAGTTGGATTTAGTGATCCCTGTGGGTCCCTTCCAATGTGAGTGATTCTAGTAATGGTGCACAATAAAATTTTCAATGCTAGGAAAAAGCAGAAGTGAGTTGGTTTAATCATACTGGTTCAGCCTCCCACAAGTTTACAAATTAAAGGCTACCCAGGAAACTTTTCCCATGGACTCCTTGCTTTGCTCTGTGATTAAGATGGAGAAGCTCAGCTAATGAGTAAATATTTTGGTTTTCCTTCACTTCTCACTGTTTAGCTTCAGGCTTCAATTTCAGTGTGCTGTTCTGGAGGGAGAGAAAATTGTTTCTTTATGTGTTTTCTTATGGTGGTCAGCTCTCTAAACTCAATTTTCACACTGTTCCAGGAGGCTGAAGGGTTGGTGTTGTCTTATCTTACAAATAGGGAACAGCAGTGCGACTCAGGGCTTACAGAAACTGCAGATACCACTTCTTGATACCTAACACCTGATGTTAGGTCATGCTTTCAATGAGCAATGTTTCTCAATGACTATACAACCCATCTGAAAAACTCAGCTTACTGCATGAGCTTCATAGCAGCTCCTAGTTTGCATAGAAAACATCGCCAAAAACGTTGGCTGTTTCCCTTCCAACAAGACAGTGTGAAGCTTTATCTGGAAAACTTTTTTCTGAAACATTTCAGACTGTTACATACTCTTAGTCAATCAGATAAATAGTCAGATAATTAGTGAAATAACTGTATTATTACTTCATCGCAAATGTTGACCTGGTTATGAGAAATATGAAGCTCAGGCTGGCTCACAGTCTGTTTCTCGAAGTTCTTTATCAAAAAAAGAAAGGTTCCTCATCATTATAACATGAGTAATGAAATACACAACTTCAAGACATTGAAATTTCCTCAGCTTCATCTTGACTTACCATTTTCAAATTAGACCCCATATGCATTTTTTCCCAAGTGAGTCTTGCATAGCTGGTGTGGGATGACTTACTGGCTAGCCAGTACAACCTGACCATTCTCTCCCTCACTTTTGTCCAACCAAGACCCTCCAATCTTCCTGAGCCTGGCAGTTCATATAATTATATTTGGTTTTTATTTTTCCCAACCTTAGCATCATTCATTTCTTCCCCAAAGGTAGAATGACTCCTCTGAACTGATGTTGGCCTTGGCGCCAATCCAGAGTCATCACCTCACTTCCTCAACTTTCTCCCCACTCATCTCCACCCATGACTGGTTGCAAGTTCCTTGCCTAAAACATCTCCTTAAGTCATCTGCCCCAACCCATAAACCGCCCTGCAACACTAGCACTCCAATACCAAGCTTTTATCTATCTGACAAATCTTCTACCATATTATGACTATCAACAAAAGCCAACATTCATATAAGTACAGGTAATTTGTGTTATTTTGCATTCACCAGTGTTCTCACAGAGAAGGTGTGAATTCAACTATTCCAACACTCATTTATGACCTGCTAGCGCTTTGCTTTTCTAAGCACACAGCCTATGAGTAGATACTGTATCTGCAGTGTCAATAAGTAGATGTAACAGAACAACACTAAACATGTGAAGAGGATATGCCAGATGTGACTCTCAATAGAAAGTGGTATTATTTCTGAACTTAAGGTAATTATGTATTATGTTGAATACTGCTGACTATCTGTGCCAGAGTTCACATCATATTTTTAAAAATAACTCTTTGATTACCTGTTATTTTTTAAGGAACTTTTGATTAAAACCACCAATGAAAGGCATTGAAACTTCATTAAGGAATTATTAAAATAATCTGTATATTTTTAAAAGGGAAAAAACCTCAGGCTGCTAGAAAATACATTTGCCAGCAGTTTATATTTCTCTTTCCATAGCTATACTCAAAGGTCTTTTTTTTATTGTTTAAACTGAGAAAATCCTCCTTGCAAATCTTGGATACTAGCACATACATTCCAGAACTGACGAGAAAATGTCCTGGAAGTCTTGTGTTGTTGGCAGAACACTCCTGTTTTGAAGATGTTGAAAATTTACTTAACTTGTTCAGATTTTTTCTTGTGATGCTAGTTGTTTTCCAAAGCATACAAAAGCATAATAACAAGAGTGAAGGGTTCCAAGGAAACCTGCATCTTTTGTCAGAGCACACACTCTTGTTACTGCTTTCCTTGTTGTTAATAGTTTTCTTGATCTATGGTGCCTGTCTGTGAACCAGTGCACTTCACACCAAAGAGGATCATGAACAGTATCTTCATCCAAGACGTCTTAAAATAAATTTCCTGAGAAAATATCACAAAAGAGGACTACTTGCACGGTCTACCTCATGGTATGCTAAGTCTCAAAAGTTAGGTACTATGCATCTACCTACTATATCCTCTCTGGCATATAGACTTTATAACTATTCCCGCTAGCTATTCTGAAATTCTCTGACCTGCACCAAAGGCAGAGGCTTACACTGGGCACTGGGAAAATTTGCTAAATTTGTACCATTTTTTTATTCTCACTATGGACCCTAAAAGGCATACTTATTCCTCAGTAACTTCAATGTGAACTTTTTGTCCATTCATA